TTGCTGCTGCTGCTGCTGCTTATTCCTTCAGCAGCTCATCAGGTGGGGGGGCCCCCGAGGATCCCAGAGGCGGCTGCGCCCCCCAGCCTGCTGCTGCTGCTGCTGCTCCGTCTTGCGGTCGCCAGCCCTGAGGGGCCCCCATGGGGCCCCCTGGGTAAGCAGCAGCCCCAAAGCTGCCTGGCACCTGCGTGCGTCACGCAGCAGCAACAGCAGCAACAGCCAATGAAGCAGCAGCAGCAGCAGCAGCAACAGCCCATGAAGCAACAGCAGCAGCAGCAGCAGCAGCAAAAGAAGCTCCAGCAACTGCTCATACACCGTCAGCACCAGACCTCATGATTAGCAGCAGCAGCAACAGCAGCAGCAGCACCACCACCACCAGCAAAAGCTGCAGCAGCAGCAGCAGCAGCATGACCACCGCCGTCAACCGCAGTGGCGGCGGAAAAAGCGGCAGCAGCAACACCAGCAAAAGCAACCGCCGGTGCAGCAGCAACACCAGCTGCAACAGCAGCACCAGCACACGCTGCGGCAGCAGCAGCACGGGCTATAGCAGAAGCAGCAGCAGCAGCAGCAGCAGCATACAGGTGCTTCAAATCCCCTTCTGCGCGCCTCGAAGAGAGCCTGAGCTTCCCTAAATTTGCTTTCCATGTGCTGCACTTTGGAGTAGTTCAGGGCCATCTGCACGCAAACCCTAAACCCTAAACCCCAAACCCTTAACCCTTAACCCTAAACCCTAGCACTTAACCCTCGATTTGCTGCCCACGCGCTGCATACTGAATAAGTTCAGGACAATTTCATGCAGACCCTAAACCCTAAACCCTAAACCCTGATGAAGCCATGCAAGCAGAGAAAGCAGCAGCTGTTGCTGCAGCAGCAAAACCTGCTGCAGCAGCAGGAGCCGCAGCAGCAGCAAATCGGCAGCAGCAAATCAACGACGTGCAACCAGCGAAGCAAAAAAGAAGCAAAAAGAAGACAAAAGAGAAACAAAAAAGAAGCAAAAAAGAATCTAAAAAAAAGATTTAAAAAGAATTCAAAAGGATTTAAAAAAGATTTAAAAAGATTAAAAAGCAAAAATAAAAATAAAAATTAAAACTCACATATCCCGCAAAGCCCACGGGGGGCCCCACAGTCAAGCCAACGACGCAGGCCCCAAATATGGGGTAGCGAAAGCCTGAGCCAAGCATAAACCCTAAACCCCAAACCCTAAACCCTAAACCCTAAATCCTAAACCCTGGACCCTGAACGTGTGTTGGGGTCTCTTGGGCTGCTCTGTTCTGCTGCGGGCATGCATTCTAGATGCCTCTGTTGTGCTGCGTTTGCCGCTGCTGCTGTTGCTGCTGCAGCTGCTGCTGCTGCTGGTGCTGCAGCAGCAGCAGCTGCTGTTCCTGTTGCTGCTGCAGCTTTCGCCGCTGCAGCAGCACTTGCTCCTACAGCAACCGCTGCTCGTGCAGCATGCGTTCCTGCTGCAGCGCTTGTTGCTGCTGCAGTTGCTGCTGCTGCTGCTGCTGCCTCACTTCTTTTCTTGAAGGCGCTCAGAGCCAAAGCCCCAAGACCCAGAGTTGCTGCTGCTGCACTTGCGCGAGCTCTTGCTGCTATTTGCTGCAGCGTCTGCCGGTCTTCAGGGGACAGCAGCTGCTGCAGCTCCAGCCTCATTGTGCGGGGACAGGGGGGCCCCAGGGGGCCCCCATCGGGGGCCCCGGGGGCCCCCGGAGGCCCCCCGGGGGCCCCCACGGGGGTCCCCATGCCCGGGCCCAGCTGCCCTGCAGGAGCGCTGCTGCCGAGCCAGCCCTGGTACCCTTGCTGTTGCTGCAGCTGCTGCTGCTGCAGCTGCTGCTGCTGCTGCTGCAGCGGGGAGTACCCCAGGGGGGCCCCCAGGGGGGGGCCTCCCGAAGACACGGGGCAGCCAAAGGCGGGGTTCTGGCCTGGGATCAGCGGGTAGCCGAGGCCTCCTGCTGCTGCTGCTGCTGCTGCTGGGCTGCTGCTGCTGCTGTTGCCGCTGCTGCTGGCAATGCCTCCCCAGCCAACTGCAGGCAGCGAGCCGCCGTCGCCGGCTGGCCTGTCAGAGCTGAGATCCATCGGCGCCTTGCTGCTGCTGCTGCTGCTGCTGCTGCTCTGGCTATGCTGCTGCTGCTGCTCTTCCGTAGACGCTGCTGCTGCTGCTGCTGCTCTGGGTCTAGCGCCTCCCACAGCGCTGCTTTTTCAGTAGCCACTGCTGCTGCTGCGCTCGAAAAACCAATTGCTGCTGAGAAGCATCAGCTGCTGCTGCTGCTGCTGCTGTAGGCGGCTGTACGTACACTGTGGAAGGCGAAGTCACTGCCAACGCTGCTGCACACAAAAATAAATTATTTTTATTTTTGTTTTTGTTTCTCTTTTGCTTTAATTAATTCCGAAGTGTCAATCTTGCTGCGCTAGTTGCTGGTGTTGAAGCAGCTGCTCAGTCCTGTTGCTGCTGCTGTTGTAGCTGCTGCTGCGGCTGCTGCAGCAGCAGCAGCGGCAGCAGCACTGTGTCGTGGGCCTGTCGGCAGCGAAAAAGCAATTTTACTGCAGCAGGCCATCTTTTAGGCGCTTTCTGTTTCTCTTTAGCCACAGAAGCTGAGCCTTCTCCTCCTGCTGCTGCTGCTGGTGTTGCTGCTGCTGCAGGCCCCACACAGCGGCCCGCGAGATCTGCGCAGCAGCAGCTAAAGGCCTGCATATCTGCAGCAAACTCGGCTGCTTCTGTTAGCAGCAGCAGCAGGCGCTACTGCTGCTGCAGTTGCTGCTGTAGCTACCACTGGTGCTGCAACAAGTCTTGGCCTTCACATGCAGCCCGCTCCCGACTTGCGGTGTATGTACACCTCGATCACACAGAGAAACAGCAGCGCAACGAGCAGCAGCAGCAGCAGCAGAAGCAGCAGCAGCAGCACCAGCAGATGCCGTTACCGTCAGAAGACAGCAGCAGCAGCAGCAGCAGCAGCAGCTTGGGCCTCTCTGGCCTGAGCGCGCTGACTCCCCCCGGGGGCTTCTCCGTGCCGCCACCCTCCCCCAGCCCCCCCCCCAGCAGCAGCAGCAGCAGCAGCAGCAGCAGCAGCAGCTGGGGCCTCCCCGAAATCCCCAGGGGGCCCCCCCGCCCCGCCTTCACCAAAGATGAACTTTACCTTTATGGCTACGGGAAGCAGTTTGGAGAAAAGCTCACCCACAGCGCCGGAGTGGGCTACGCAGCAGGTAAACCCTAAACCCTAAACCCTAAACCCTAAACCCTAAACGCTAAACCCTGAACCCTAGCGAGCCCGAACCCCGAGACCCTCACTCTCCCGCAGGCCCCAAACCCTACAAGTATCGGCCCCCAACCCGCCCAAACCCCCAAACCCACTTCTGCCGCCGCTGCTGCTGCTGCTGCTGCTGCTGCTGCTGCTGCTGCAGGGGTGCTGCTGGGGGGCCTCTACGGGGGGGCCCTCGGGCTGCAGCGGGGGGGAGCCTCCCCGCGGCTGCGGCTAAATGCTTTGCTGAATGGCTGCAGCACTTACGCGCCTGCGCTGGGCAGCCAGCTAGCCACCCTCAGTAAACCCTAAACCCTAAACCCTAAACCCTAAACCCTAAACCCTCGCAAGCCCAAAACCCCAAAACCTCACTGCCGACCCACCGCCGAAACAAAAGCAAAAGCAACAACAGTAACAACGACAGCAGTGCCAGCAACAGTACCAGCAGCACCCGTAGCCAGCAGCAGCAGCAGCAGCAGCAGCAGCAGCAGCAGCAGCACGTGCGCGCAGGCCTCTTCTACTGCTGCTTCAACAACAGCTGCATTTTGCTGCGCGGCGACAGCCCCCTCCACCCGCCCCTCGCGGGGGCCCTCGCGGGGGCCCTCTTCAAGAGCAGGGCTGGGGGCCGGGCCCTCGCGGCCTACGCAGCGGCGTCTTCAGGTCAGCTAGCTAGCTAGCTAGCTGGCTAGCTGGCTGGGTGGCTGGCTGGGTGGCTGGCTAGCTGGCTGGGGGTGGCTAGCTGGCTAGCTGGCTAGCTGGGGGAGCTCGCTGGCTGGGGGTCGCTGGCGAGCTGGGGAGGGGGCTGGGGAGAGGGCTTTCGGGGGCTAGTGGCTAGCTAGCTAGCTAGCTAGCTAACTAGCTAGCTAGCTGGCGAACTAGCTAGCTGGCTAGCTAGCTAGCTGGCTAGCTAGCCAGATAGAAGGGGAATTGGGGGGCAGGGGGCCGGGAAGATAGCTCGAAAAGGGTTCGGGGGTTTATATCTTTGAAGACAAATAGCTCGGTGGCTAGCTAGCGGGATGGGGCTGGAGGGCTGACTGGCTAGCTGGCTAGCTGGCTAGCTAGCCAGCTTGCCACGGGGTGCAGGGAGTTAGGGGGAGCCTTTTGGCTAGCTAGCTGCGGGGATAGCTCAGCCAGCCAGTCTTAGAGGCACGTAGCTAGCTAGCTAGCTACCTAGCCAGCGAGATGGCTAGCTGGCTAGCTAGCTAGCTAGCCAGCTAACTTGCTGTGCGGCTATCCTTTGCTGCAGTTGCCTTCACGGCCATCGACCAGTACATGCGACGCTATCTTTGAGGCGGCGGCCCGCGTGGCTAGCTAGCTAGCTAGCTAGCTAGCTGGCTGGCTGGCTAGCTAGCTGACTAGCTAGCTAGTAGCTGGCTAGCTAGCTGGCTAGCCAGGCAGCTTCGTGGGACGCCCGGAGAGGAGACGCTCGAGGAGAAAAAGGTGAGGAGGGATTCGCTGCTACGGAGGCCTGCTGCTGCAGCTGCTGCTGCAGCAGCAGCAGCAACTTTGCTGCTGCTACTGCTGCTGCTGGGGAGCACTTACAATCCCAACGTCGCGCAGCTGATGTTTTCTGTGAGAGACCTCTCGAGGAGTTTGCTGCTGGGCAGCGGCAGCAAGTGCTGCTGCAGCAGAAGCTGCTGCTGCAGCTGCTGCTGCTGACACTCCGCAGGCGAGTCCGGGTATTCAAAATAGACTGGCTGCTGCGCTGCTGGGGGAAGCTGCAGCAGCAGCAGCTGCTGCTGCGGCTGCTGCTGAAAGAAGCCAGCCTCTTCTTTGGGAGCAGCAGCAGCAGCAGCAGCGGGGTCGTGGCAGATCACCTCAGTGCTGCTGCTGCTGCTGCAGTCAGGCAGCAGCGTCCCTTGCTCTGCGGCAGCCGCACGGACAAGCAGCAGCTAGCCAGTTAGCTAGCTGGTCAGTTGGCTAGCTAGCTAGCTAGCTAGCTGGCTAGCTAGCCACTGCGCGCCTGCTGCAGCCAGCTCACCTTTTGCTTATTTATGTGCGCTGAGCCCTAGACAACTGCTGTTTCTTTTAAACTGACTTGACAGCTCCGTAGCTAGCTAGCCAGCTAGCTAGCTAGCTAGCTAGCTAGTGAACAGCTAGCTAGCTGGCTAGCAAGCCACCTGAGCGGCCAGCTCAGCAAACGGCTATGTATCGCCAGCTAGCCAACTGTATGTGCGCTCATCTGTCTAGCTAGCTAGCTAGCTAGCTAGAGGGCAAGATAGCCCCGCATGGCCAGTAGCTAGCTATCTATCTAGTTAGCTAGCTAGATGGCTAGCCATATAGCTAGCTAGCTAGCTAGGCGGCTAGCTGTGAGGTGTGTCTACGCCTGGTCAGTGCGTCGGCCTGTCGTAGCCAGCCAGCTAGCTGGCTGGCTAGCTAGCTAGCCAGCTAGTACCCCGCTAGCTAGCCAGTTGGCTAGCTAGCCAGCTAGCTAGCCAGCTAGCTAGCTAGCTAGCCAAGCGTGGGGCCGCTCACTTGGGAGAAGGGCGCAGGTGAGGCTGGGGCCCTCTTGGGCAGCAGCAGCTGTGCTGCTGCTGAGGTGTACAGACACCTCAGCTAGCCCCAGCAGCAGCAGCAGGAAGCAGCAAAAGCCACTCAAGGGGTTTTGGCAGCAGCGCCAAAGGCCAAATAAACCTGCGCACAAGGAATGGCTAGACACTCGCAGCTAGCTAGCTAGCTAGCTAGCTGGCTAGCTGGCTGGCTAGCTACGTGGCTGGCTAGGTGGCTAGCTAGCTAGCTCGGCGGCTAGCCAGCTGGCTAGCTAGCTAGCTATGCAGCTGGCTAGGTGGCTACTGGCTGGTTCTTCAAGGGCAGAGACAGCTAGCTAGCTGCCTAGCTAGCTAGCCAACTAGCTAGCCAACTAGCCAACTCGTTAGCTAGCTAGCTAGTTAGCTAGCTAGCTAGCTAGCTAACTCACCTACTAAACAG